ATCGCGGGAGACGATAATATGTCTACACACGCCCGCGAGGGATGATCAGAATTTTCCGCGATTGCAGAAGACGATGATGGTATCAACAGAGCCGCAACGGATAATTAGAGTATTGCCGCGATCACAGAAGACGATGATTATGTCCACACGACCGCGGAAAACAGCAAGAATTTTGCCGCGATCGTAGAAGACAATGATGATCTCCACACGACTAGAGGACATTATTAACATTTTCCCGCAATCGCGGGAGACGATTACGATGTCTTCACAACTGCGGGAAACGATTACGATGTCTACAGAACCGCGGAATACAATAATGAGTTCTACGCGGCCTCACGACCGCTGGATATGTTCATATATTGCCTCAATCATGGAAGACGATAATTATATGTCCAAACGACCTGACTGCAGAATCTGCAGTCAGGTCGTTTGGACATATAATTATCGTCTTCCATGATTGAGGCAATATATAGTGCAGAAAATAGTAAGACTCTTGCCGCAAACGCGGGAGACGATTACGATGCCTACACGGCCGCGAGTGGTTATCAGAAGTTTACCGCAATAGCATGCAAATACTACCACGATTTTTTTTAAATTTCCAAATTTTTGGCGCACCCAGAAAAAGCCAATTGCCTCGCGCCCTAGGCACGTGCCTACCGTGCCTATTCGGTAAATCGGCCCTGAGCAGACCCCATAATATGCACAAGTCTGGCTCTATACAGAAGATTGTAGTGTGCAGAGCTTGCTGTCCGGTCCAAGACTACTGATGTGAATGCTATATACTTTTTATCTGACAATTCGAGTCACTTAATAGTTTTCCAATACTAATTAATAGTGACTTTAGTCACTGATTAATTTTAATATAAATATCAATAGTAATTATAACTTCATTTTATGTTGTTGTTGTTCCGGATCGGTAAGACATACAATAAAAGGTTAAATTACCTGTGTCCGCCAGTCGATCCTTGTGCTGTGTCCTATTACAGGAGATGCATTTCGGCAGAATAAACTGCCATCATCAGTCCTAATATAAGTCCTTGTTCTTCCCCATTGGGTGCGTCTTGAAGTTTTGAAACACGTACACGAACGATATTACACTTAGATACATTACGAATAAAACATAAAAATACACGGTAGGCCTACTACTATTTGAGCTATTGACATGTAGACGCGCGTCGGTCGTGTGTCGAGTATATCGAGTATATGTGTCGTGACTCGACACACGACCGACGCGCGTCTACATGTCAATAGCTCAAATAGTAGTAGGCCTACCGTGTATATGTTTTATTCGTAATGTATCTAAGTGTAATATCGTTCGTGTACGTGTTTCAAAACTTCAAGACGCACCCAATGGGGAAGAACAAGGACTTATATTAGGACTGATGATGGCAGTTTATTCTGCCGAAATGCATCTCCTGTAATAGGACACAGCACAAGGATCGACTGGCGGACACAGGTAATTTAACCTTTTATTGTAAGTAATTATAAATAGACTTAACAGTACAGTAGACTCCCTCTTAGAACACCTTTTAACCGGACATCGGTTTAACCGGACTAGATCGGGAGGAAGTGGGCGGTACTGAAACGACTGTTCTCGTGGGAAAGATTTGAGACCAGTGATCACGTGTCAAAATGAGTTTTTGGGGACAAAACCCGTTATCCGGACTGGCCTCGGTCCCGAGGAGTCTGGATAAGAGGGAGGGAGTCCTACTGTATTCAAGAAAAGTTTCAATGTAAAACCACCGAATTCACTTTGTTCAACAACTGATTAAACTCAAACAATGCAAACAATCATATGAAAATACAAATTTGTTAAATTAGGTTTCTAAGATTCATGGTGGGATTTGTGCAACACTTTTCTACATGATCTTTATCTATATTCCTGTCTTCCGCGTTCACACTCCGCTCCGAAACACATATAAGACTATAGTAGTTATGATTATAAATAAAACTGAACTATAAAACTATAATTAAATTATATACATAATAATGTGTATACGCACATAAGCACATAATGGGGTTGAAGTTGTTTATTAGTGTTCGAGTTAAGTATAAATACAATTAATTTTGACAAGAGTATATTCGCTATTCTACAACATCGCTGCTTGAGGTAAGAATACGCATAACCACCAATGCAAGTCGTTTTGTCTTTATTCTTTCTCAGAAACGCACTTAACTTTGTAACAGCACGTAAGTTTCTAAGAAAACTATAAAACTCAATCTAACAAGATTATAAAACAAGGTAACATTTTAAGCTACAGATTTTGCGTCAAACACAACCTTTATATTGTTCGAAGAATAATCTACTCCTACTGGAAACATTTTTCAGTGAACTTTGAGTGACTTAGTACTAATCATGTAGTGATACTTCTTGTCTTTGGCTACGAGGTTTGTGTTTAATAACCTTTTATGCACTTTGTGAATTACTTTTAAAATGTCCACTTACACAGACTGTTTTATTTTTGTACGTGTAAGGGTGTCTTACAACAATCTCACTCGTTCTTCTCTTAACATTTGCATATTGATTTTTCAATTTTATATTTATTTGACGTTTATCACATTTCCACAACCTTTTAGTGAATTTCCCATACAGGGAATATGCCATTATTGTAGTACTCACGGTAAGACCTGTATCCGGGACCGATTTACTTTTTCGCTTTGAGGAAATTATCCGATTTTGATGAAATTTTGTATACACGTGTAAACATACATTTATTAAAACGAGTTCGTGAACCAGCATGATTGGACTATGGGAACGGGGGTTTATGGGTGGTTTTATGGGGTAAAAATTGGGTTTTCCCATTTTTTACCCTAAAAACACAAAATTTTACGATTCTTTCCAAACCATTTTGTAGAGCTTAAAAAACATATAATTTAGTATATTGAAGCGTTATTATGCGCCTAATGGTTGCGGAGAAAATTGCAAAAAATTATAATTTATTTTTCCCATGTTATTCTTATCGAGAATAAGTCAACTGTTGTAGTTTGCTTGTTTATGAACATATTTAGATCAAATTTGGAAAATACATTCATTTCTTACTAAACTATTAACATTTGACAAAGCACACTTTTTACCCTCCCTGTTGCAGCAAACCTAAGTACTCGTTTAACTAATTGTATTGAAATAGGGAATACATGTGATATTTTTAAGGAGGCATTTTTGTATGAATCCAATCAGGCAAATGGAAATTCACTTAGTCTGCAGGTTTGCTGCGGCGGGGGTATTTTATTTTTACGTTATCTTCATTTAAACTCAATTGTGTTAAGATTTGTTGATAATTATACATTTGGTTTGTAAGAGTTAAGTCATATTACTTTTCCATGTTATTCTCTACATGTTACATTCTCTTGACCAACCATTCTACATAACATTCTCAACATTACCAAATTTATTTACATTGAAAGTGTGTATGTTACTATAAGAGCCTAAGACTGTATATTATTTTGATTGTCAAATAACAATTTATTTACTGTGATTTGAGATTTGTAGCAAGGAGTGAATGCTAAAAGAGAATATGTCTACTTAGGTTTTCAGCCATTTTATTTACTTATAGGTGTGATTTATTTGTAAAAATATTTATCTTAACTCTAGTTGATTAATAAAAAAATACCTTACTTAACTGTTGTTGGCAATTTGGTTTTAAAAAAGTTAATTCCTGTTAAAACAGATATTTTGTCACATTTGTCGCGCTGAGTCTACGTTTAGTGTTGAAGACTAAGGGATGTTGCCAATGCAATTAATTACATGATACCCCCCCTACCATCCCCTCTGTGATGTAGCTGAGTAATTAACTATTGTGACTTTACCGTCACAGGGTTGTAACTATTGTGTATACAGTTATTTACGTGCAAAATTTTAGATGATATGAAATAAAAAAAGAATATAAAATTGAATTACGTACCGTATACAAACTATTCATAATCAGAATCGATATTTACTATCTTCATAAAATAATAACTTGAATACAATAAGTGCAATGGAACGAGTTACACAATAGAATAATTGAACAAAAAATATTTTTTTTCTAATGAGCCATAAAACGAAGAACAGTTTATTTTTAGTTTCATTTTCCTTTACGTGGGGCTTCGAGTAAAAGAATAAAAGAACAACAGAATAAATAATAAATAAATAAATAAGAATAAATAATAAGAACAAAGAAGACAAGAACAATTCAAGTAATCAAGTTATTTTAAGGGAACTCGTAAGTTTTAAATTGCCCCAAAGTAATAAGTACTTAATCCAAATAATTATTGGTTACAAAAAATATCCCAAAAGATTTGATATTGTCAACAAATTTGAATCAAAATCAGTGAAACTTTTTATCTTTTGCTTTAAATACGGTCAGTCTACATGTTTTGTAAAATAACGACAAGAAATCTTAAAATAAATTAGCTTTATTGTTTTTGACATATTTTTATTATTTTTTAGTAAGATTTTTGTTGTGTTGTGTACCTTAAAATTCTAAAGTTAAAAAAAGAATACCGGTACATAATGTTGCTTTAATAGTATTGCACGATGATACAGATGAGGTTGTGATACAAAATACGCATAATTAATTTGCAAAAATTCAGTCACATTAATTGAAAAAACAACCATTAAGATGTACAGCATAAAATAGCTTGTAGTTTGTACAGCTCTAAAATATTTTTCATTATACTACGGGTTTTTAGTTATTTAAGTAGTGTGTACAATTTCTATCAAAAAAATTACTCTATTTGTTAGTTATTTTTAATACATCTTATACCATACTACGATCAGCAAACACACTATTACGATTATCACTGCCAGATAGAAATATATCTCTATTCTCAACAAATTATGCTATTAAAAAAATGTAGATGTAACAAATATAGGGTTCAGCCCCTTCCTGAAACCACACAAAACCACAATATCAGGATTTCAACCGATTATTGCAAAAAATGTAAAACTTTCGAAATTTTGAAAAAATAAACACGAAATAAAAACAGAAATAAATTAAGTCGTAAAACATGGTACTCACGGCTCTAGAGGTAGAACACGGAGACTCCATCGTGCCAGTGACCCACTGAGGCGAAGGATGACCCGGGACTGCGCCAGGTTCAAGGCTCTGGAGGGGGGAACATTCCGGGCCCCGGGGAACCGCGGGCCCCCTGGACTACTTCGGCCCCCACATCACATGTAAACAACCTGGCGTTCATTCAACCCACCACACCTGACCTGTCCACTACTGTCCGCTCCTGGTTTGGATGGCTGTATCGTAATGAAAAATTGAAAAACCCCCGCCACAGCAAACCTGCAGATTTAGTAAATTTCCACTTGTCTAGTTGGGTTTTCACTCAAATATTTCATTGAACTTGTCAGATTTATTTAACGTTTAAATACAATTGAATTTAAGGAATGCGCCCCCTAAGTCAAAAGGGGTGTTTATTTCAAAGGTTTAACAGTGTAGTTTAAAACAAACTGTTCGAATTTGGTCAAAATATCCTATAGGCAAGCATGTTTCTCTAAAACCTTTTTTCTAAACTCGTGTGCATCACAGGGCAAATCTACGCATACTGTTAGAAATATATTTTCTGTAGGTATGCAGTATCCCTTTATAAATTACTAGCTGGCCCGACAGACGCCGTCATGTCCTAACGTGGTTTTATGTCAAATGCTTGTTCATTTTCAAGATCCTGGTTTAAGTTCGTTCGCTATGCTCACTCACCTTTAGGTTGGAGCTCGTTCGCTGCGCTCACTTGCCTTCAGGTTAGCTCGTTCGCCACGCTAACTCGCCTCCAGGTTGAAGTTCGTTCGCTACGCTCACTCACCTTTTGGTTGCAAATTAGCTGTTGCCATAAATTAAATAATAATCGTGCTGCACCCTGTTGGTAAAGTTATTAACTTTTTAATGCTATTGAACATCACAGAATCAAATTGCTTAGTTGAACCAGCTGTTAAGATTCTTTAATTCCATTTAAATATGAGTACTCATAACGGGAATTTTTTTCTCGCAAAGTTATGAGGAAATTCGTTTTATTCAAAGTTCAGGACATTCAGTTCAGCAGTTTTTTTATTCGCCCTTAACAAATAAATAGACAGACAGAACCCCTATCTTTTGTAATATCGAAATTGGCGTAGATATTGGTAGGATAACTGTACTACAAGAACAGTTGTTAAGCAAACGACTTTTGTTAGCCCTGAATATTCATGATCAGCAATATGGTGACGTCAGCAACTCAGCTGATGATCATACCACGTGACTCGTTTACAGAACTGTCAATGAACAGCTGATTAATTACAGTGACATTCTATTGATACCCGTGATTAACCAGGCTTACAGCTGATGCTTTGATGTGTTTGTGTCTCTCAGGCACATCGTAAATGTCAAAGGTCCTTAGCTACAGTTTCTTAATCAATGTTAATATACATTCACATTCAGTATGAATTTCAACTTATGACAATATCCAATATGCTTCTTTTACTCAGTAGTAGAGACTCATTGTCATACAAAATACAATAGATTGAACGCCTAATTATATATACTAGTGTCCCTGTTGCTCGAATTCGAGCAATTGCTAAGTATTACAGGCGTTATTTTAAAACGAATTTCAACCAAGTCAGCAAGTTTGCAGCAAACTGTTAAATTAGCAAACTTATTGACTGTTTACAATTATGCTCTTCTTCTCACTTTTGATTTGTGACAACAGCTGGAGTTAGTGGAGTTTCATAACAATTTTTGTTTCCAATGTTAATCTCATGGAGAAATACGAAACATTAAAGGGCTCCATGGCCTCACTCTCTCATTATTTCCCTAAAAAGAAAGTTTCCTGCACAACTTCACGTTACGCTCTTTTCAATGACACCAAAAACATGACAATCGGTTCATTATTTTCGGAGGAGTAATTGACACAAAAATCCTGCTTGCGTATTAAATAAATACTAGTTGCTCTACCCGTGTTTCGCTACGGGGTGAGAATACAGAAAATAATAATTCGGTTTTACTTTAAGATACTACAATATACTATGAGAAACAGTTACAACAAACTTACCAGGAAACATAGGCAAAGGCTCAATCCTGCTTATTGATTACTTAAATTAAGATCTCTTAAAGTATTACAGTACTATCATTTTATATAGTGTATAGCATTTAAAATATATGCAAAAGTATAATGCATTGACCACATGGCACCAAGAAACAATTCTCCTTGTAAACAAATTAAATTAAATAGCAGAACAGCATTTCTGACAACAGCTGGAGTTTCATAACAATGTTTGTTTCCCATGTTAATCTTATGGAGAAATACGAAACTTTAAAGGGCACCCAGGCCTCACTCTCTAATTATTTCCCTAAAAAGAAGGTTTCCTGCACAACTTCACGTTACCCTCTTTCCAATGACACCAAAACATGTCAATCGGTTCAGTAGTTTCGGAGGAGTAATTGTCACAAAAAACCTGCTTGCGTATTAAATAAGTATAGACTAGTGTCCCTGTTGCTCGAATTCGAGCAATTGCTATGTATTACAGGCATTATTTTAAAACAAATAACAGTCATAATTTTTAATAACTTTAAAAGATTTAACTCGAAGATTATGGAACACTCAAGATGTACATAACAGATCGAATAATCAAAATTTCTTGTAAAAATCTTATCATTTTTGAAAAGCTGATCTTGTTTTTTAGTTGTTTTTATCCTTACTCATAGCCGCATTAGGTTGTCTATAATAACGTTATATAAAAAAACACACATTATTTCTATTTCTTCTCATTGGTGGTGTTCAATGACTTTCCTATGTTTTCATAGTTTGCAAATCGGCTCTTTCAATGATTACTAAGAAATGCAGCACAGTGTTAATTCGGTTTTATTTTTAGTAGCCTATATCAATTTATCCAGGCTCTCTCGTTTTTTTTTCATTTTAATATTTACGCCAACCCAAATTCAAACAGTAAATATTTTATTTCTACCAAGTAAGTAAATGCCTGTAGCAAACTAACTTTTAAATTAGCAAACTTATTGACTGTTTACTAATAACATATGTTCTTCTTCTCACTTTTAATTTCTGACAACAGCTGGAGTTTCATAACTATTTCTTTCCCATGTTAATCTTATGGAGAAATACGAAACTTTAAAGGGCCCCAGGGCCTCACCCTCTAATTACTTCCCTAAAAAGAAAGTTTCCTGCACAACTTCACGTTACGCTTTTTCCAATGACACCAAGAACATGTCAATCGGTTCAGTAAAATGCCGTATATATTTCTACTAATTAAATGAGACGATCTTATTACAAGTTTCTAATATTATGACCAACCCAATCGACACTAGAACATAAGTCTGAATAAAATACTGAAAAAAGTTATCCAGGATCTGCACACTTACACTCATGAAAAATATAGTATTCTTCAGATACCCAAAAATAAGTTTACTTATGCTAAAGTAAATTACGTAATCCAATAAAAAAATATCATCTAATCAAACGAATAATAAGAAAAATAGAGATAAACAAATTGAACAATCCAAACACTCACTGTATTGGGTTACCTAATTATGCCAATTATATAACCATCAATGTCACTAGTTGGAAACATCATTACATTAGTTGCGTTTGAAATTCAAACTTTTTATTATTTTCGAAAAAAACTGTTTTGAATACTAGTACAGTTTAAGGAAAGAGATTTCTCTTCCGGTGAGTCCGGAACTAGCGAGCTGTTACGTGCACAGCTCACCCACGCTGAGAACCAGGCCACAACTTGACCTTGTGCTTGTATACAACACTGTGTGTTAAAGTAGTAGTAGTAAGCACTCTACACGGGAAAACCTCTGCAAAGTGTTACTATGGATCCTGCAATTAGACTTAAACAATTTTAAAATCGGTTACCTGTTTGATATCGGTTTTATGTCGGACACTACTCGATATGACGATATGTTAAAATGGGAACTCAAGGAAAATTACAGCATGAAATAGTTATTTGTGTAACTAGTGTGCGAAGTGGCAAAGGCACTTTGCACTCGTGTTACAAATTATATTTTTCCTAGTTACAATAAAGCATAGAAATAATTAGTCCCTCAAACACCAAACAACACGCCTTAGTTAGGTTAAATCCAAGCATTGAACGAAATGGGAAACACTGAACCAGCTAAATGTAGTCGTAGCGGTCGTAGTATCTTTAGAGGCGGTTCACGAGCTCGGGTTTATCGTAGTCCGAGCCCAAAATCCAGAAATAACCGGTATAATGGTGAACATTTAGTCGTTTAGATTAAAGGAGTACACCTATTCCTTTAATCTATGCCTGTATACAGAATTCGCACCAGTAGCCGAAAATTAGGATTACAGTTCGTTTGAAGAAGTTATCTCAAGTTTGTTTGAAGACCGATGTGATATTTTCTCCACACTGGTCTATAAAATATAGGCAGAACTGTAAATAATAAACCATAAGAGGACACTGCAATCCTCCGAAGACGTAGGCTGTTTGATCAATGAAAAACATTTAATCGTAGGCGTATTATAACAAAAATATTGATTGTTCAACGGTTTGCATTAATTTCGAGTCTGTAGTTGCTACGCAACGTCAATATCACCGCAGCGATAATGAAGTTGCCACTAAATAGTGGTTGAGGCATATTGAATGTGTTGAAGTTTTTGCTGAACTTTTACTAAATAAATTACCATCAATTTTTGGTCCTACAGCTTTCAGTTTTTAGCACTGACTTGTAAAGGCTACAATTTCAAATTTAAGTACGTCCTGAAAAAAATTTTCAACATAAAGAGGTAAAATATGATTCTCTGTATGCACAGAAAGTGATTAAGTAAACGAGATTATGAATGTCAAATTTTGCGAAAGTCGTTAAATAAGTTAAATTTTCTATACTAATCGAGCATTTCTCATTACGCGTATTAACTTTTAAAATTTAAACTCCTGGTGTAGTAAACAATATTATATCGATTTCAATATTTTTCTCTGCCTACAACTCCTGGAGTAGGTAGACCTAACTACGTGACTGGCAGACGTGCAGCATCAGCCGAATGGAAGGGATAGGTTTTTGTTTGTTACACACTGAGCAGCCTATATTGAATACATTGACTATGGATTAACACGTTC